AATCAGTGTAAATATATTTATTGTACTTAGGTCACAAGGAAGCTGTAATATCAGTTGCTTTTTCACCAGATGGAACATGTTTAGCTAGTGGTTCTGGAGATACAACAGTTAGATTTTGGGATATATATACACAAACTCCTTATTTTACATGTGAAGGTCATAAACATTGGGTTTTATGTATATCATGGTCTCCATGTGGAACTAAGCTTGCATCTGCATGTAAAAATGGCACAATTTTATTATGGAATCCTAAAACAGGGAAACAGATAGGTTGAAGACTATAAGAATGTTTTTTTTTTTTACTAATATTAATACTATAAAATAGTAATTTATTCAATTTCAACTTCTCTGAATCATCAGGAAAAGCAATGTTAGGACACAAAATGTGGGTAACTTCTTTATGTTGGGAGCCATTTCACAAAAACTCAAAATGCCAGTATTTAGTTAGTGCATCAAAAGATTGTGACTTAAGGATATGGGATGTAGTACGTGCACAAATTGTTCGCACTCTTTCTGGTCATACAAGAAGTGTAACATGTGTTAAGTGGGGAGGAAGGGGTCTTATTTATTCTGCTTCTCAAGACAGAACTATTAAAGTATGGAGAGCTGAAGATGTAAGCTTTACAATTTTGCATATTATTTAACAATTATTATAATTAATTAATTATATACTGCATTGTAAACTCATGTAATTTTTTATTAAAAACTTTTAATACCGTTTGAATACATGTAGGGAATCTTGTGTAGGACTTTACAAGGTCATGCACATTGGGTGAATACTTTAGCATTGAATGTGGACTATGTACTTAGAATTGGTCCTTTTTATTTTGGAGGTAATCAAGATAAAAGTGAAAGTTTTTTTGAAGATACAAAGAAACATTATGAATCTGTAGGTGAAGAAATACTTGTTTCTGGTTCTGATGATTTTACTTTATTTCTTTGGAAACCAGAAAAAGAAAACAAATTTACTGGTATTATTCATTATTATATAAACACAATGATTTTTACAAAATAAAAATATTAATTGTTGTATTCTATAGCAAGAATGACAGGACATCAGCAGTTGATTAATGATGTGAAATTTTCTCCAAATGGTCGCATAATTGCATCAGCTTCATTTGACAAATCTATAAAGCTGTGGGAAGCAAATACTGGAAAATATATAACTTCATTAAGAGGCCATGTACAAGCTGTATATTCAATTTCATGGAGTGCAGATTCCCGTTTACTTGTTAGTGGTAGTGCAGATTCTACTTTAAAAGGTAAACAAGTTATGTGAATGAAAGATCAAACTAATAAAATCTGTTATATATTTATTAATGTATTTTTTTCATGTAATAATAGCCAATTTGAAACACAGATGAAAACTATTTTTAAAAGATTTACAAATTTAATTTTTGATAAAATAAAACAAAGAATAAGATAAAAAAGATACAGTGACACTTCTTAATAAAAGAATTGTGATGTACAGGGTGGCCTGTTTTAATCTATAAATGCTTAAATTGGAAAACTAGCTTTTGGGAGATTAAATGAAATGAAGGGACACAGTAGTACATGCAGGTGCAAGTTCGATAAGTACAAGCGTTAAGGAAGATCAATTGGATTTTTTTAAATGATACGTAGTGACACTTTTGTCACTGATCGCTACAATCTGGAGTAGCGACCGTTAAATGTCGGAAAACAATAACTCAACGAATAGTGTCTCTGCAAGTGCTGGAATACATTGCCCAGAACATCGATATATGTTTAAATACGCCTCTTGATATTATCTTGTACGGTCATAAGCATTTTTAAAGTGACACTTTTAACATCGCGCGATCAATACGAGATGCCTACGTTACTTAATCAAATTGAATGTTCATTTATGTTTCGTCGTTGTATTTTAAATAAAATCTTTTTAAAGTCTGAAATATTTTTTTGTACCATTCGTAGTTTTCGAGATATTTCAGTCTTCTGAGATAAATTGGACATACTGTAGATTAAAATGGGTAATCCTATGTACAACTTCAATTTTAAGCATGGTAATAAATTTAACACAAAATGATTTTACACTTTTTGTTTTAGTGTGGAATATAAAATCAAAGAAGCTTTGCCAGGATTTACCTGGCCATGCAGATGAAATTTATGCAGTAGACTGGTCTCCAGATGGGTTGCGTGTTGCATCTGGTGGAAAAGATAAAGTTTTACGACTTTGGCAGAATTAATTAATGTACATATACATGACGAATACTTTTGTAACAATTTTGAATTTCTTTACAATTACCAAACGAAATAAAACGAACGCAAGCAATTAATGAATTTCTAAAATATTTATCGACTCGTAAAGCGTGTCTTAACTTATGCTTCTTCGCAGTGTATTTTAAAAAAGAGCAAAACAAATTCACGGGGCAACGCAAATCTCTTGATGAAGAAGAAGCAAAATTCAGTCAGGCATTTTTGTCGCTTGAACAAAATGTATAACAGATTCGTATCAAGATGTGCGTAGACACATATCCACTTTGCGAGGTAAAGATTAATACAACAGTACTTCGTTAAATCTTGAAATTATTCGATAATTATGCGTGAGTCACGCAAGAAATGGTATTCTTACCACTTCTTGAAAGTACCCCTAGCGTGCGACCCTTGGAGCTATTTGCATTCAACGCTTGAAGCTGACGGCTGGTGAATCATCATCACAGTATTGAAGAATTAAATATTTATAATTTTTATTTTATAATGTTTAAAAT